GACTTTTACAAAATTGTCATGCCGACTATGCAATCCGATTTTTATAATAAATAATTGATTTGTTGCAATTAGTAAATGATATATGTGATAATATTTTGCCTAATTCAAAATTCTTAATTTTATTTTATTCAGTTTTTTTTAATAAAAATAGAGAAAGAAATTGACTTTTGCATCAGTCGAAATTTACCTAAATTAAATCCACAAAATATAAAAATTTAGGGTGCACATTAAAAAAATAAAATTTTGTACCATTTCAAGATTAAATCAACCGTAATTAGTTTTAATTAAAATATAATAGTTTCCAAACAAAACACTTTAGTTAGCAAAAAATTTATTGTATGTAATATTGTTTCTTTAAGGTAGTACGATTTTTTGAAAGAAAAGTAACAAATACCATAATTTTAGAGTAGTGTTTAATGCTGATTTTTTTGAAAAACAAAAAGTTACTAAGTAAGAAATATAATTAATGCTAATTTAGATTTGACCTACTATTTTTAAAAAATGTTAATTCTTTTTATATAGATATAGATTTGGTGCTTTGTTCATTTTATTTTTTTAACGTGTTTTAAACAAAAATATTATAAATAAACTAATGATGTATATAAATTAGTTGTCATAATTTAAATAATATTGTTAATTCACTTAGTTATACATTATATATTGTTATATATTATTCCAACTTCAACAAAATACATAAACATTTTTTTTTAAAAAATTTACATTTAATTGTTTTATCAAACACATGTGTAATACACGAGATTCATACTAAGTATCCCATTACTAATAAATAAAATTAAAGTTTATCCATCAATCTTGCAAAAACAAAACACCAAAAATTCTCAATTAAAGTTGATTTTCACAAAACAATCCAAAACTAGTAAAAAAAGACCAAATCAACTCTACAATACATACAAGACAAACATTTGAAGGTAGAACTTAGAAGACCAAAGACTTTGTGTATACTACTATTCACAACATGTGTATAAAAATAATTCCACTGTCTGAAAAGTCAAGCCCAACAATCAATCCCAAGCTCCAGGCCATCGGCTCACACCTCTGCAAGAAACACACACACACACACACAACCAACTTCAACAGTACCCTCTTGGAAAGTCCCTCTGTAAATTCTTCATTTTCTTTTCACAATTTCGAACTATTTTTTTTCACTTTGATTTCCTTTCCTTTTTGCAGTGAGCATATTAAAGCTCGGTGCTTTAGGCAGTCGTGGTGTTTTGTGGCTCATTCTCTCTGCACAACTTCAACCAAGTTCCTGTTTTTTCAGGTCAGCTATCCCTTTTAAATATATATATATATATTTTTTTTTTAGAAGTGCAATTGATAATGTAAGATCGTTGATTAACAAAAAATGATGTCTTTATAGCTTTCACCAGTAGGGGTCGAATGTTTTCTTACAGTAACCTAAGTCCCAAGATTTTTCACCGTTCGATCAACACACCCATGTGGGTATGTGTGTGTTTGTGTGTGTTTTTGTTCTCCGGTATCCCGTTTGGTATGGGTATAGTTGCGAGATTGTGGGCCATTCTGTAAATTTCTGTAAACTCTTGATTCACCGGCGAAAAATTCCGATGAACGATGTCGAGAAAGTTAAAGATTTTAGTCTAAGATATAGTTTTTGATTTGGTAATTATAATAATAATTTATGTGAAGAAAAGAGGGGTAGTTTTTCAGCATTCTGTAAATGTCAACTCTTTGCTTTTCGATTCTGCTAATTTGGTTTGACCCTTAATAGTCCTGTTATACACTGTTTCGACTAATTCAACTTTTAGCTGGTAATTTGCTATGAAATGTCATACTTTTGTTCGTTTATGTTGTTTTTTAGAGTACGATATTCAATCACTTCATCAAATGGCACAAGTGTTTGTTTTCTGCTTTATTAAGTTGTACTAGTAACAGGTCTGTATGAAAAATGGATCCTTCAGAACGAGACGAGGTTCCCATGTTGCAAGGTTCTTACATCCAATCAGATGAAGGCTCGAAAAACTCTATCACAAACAAAGGACTCTCGACCAGAACAAGAAGTGCATCAATGTCCATTCCCACCAACTCTATATATTCCTCCGAATACGAACGAAGCCTCGTGGGCTTCACGGGTCCTTTGAGAACCGAAAAAGGGAGGAATTCCATTGCACAAACGAGTGTCGATCTATACGCTTTGCGCAGAAAGGCAAACGAGCCTAAAATAGAGAGATTTCCTTCTTCGATTATTGATCGGGGGAATGATGACAGTGATGATTTCGTGGGGAGAAATGAGAATCTTTATAAGTCCGGGCAGCTCGGAATGTGCAGCGATCCTTACTGCACAACTTGTCCGATGTACGATAATGTCAATGGCTATAAGTATAACAAAACTCCTCAGATGTTGGATGCAAAGGTATTAACTATTTATGTATACAATGGCGAATTCTTTTTATATATGTTTTTCTTTTTTCTACACGTTCACATGTTTTGCTTTTTTTTTTTTTCTTTTACAGTTTCACAATATGATTTATGGAGATGCGAAAGGATGGGCCAAGAGGATGTATTCTCATATTCAGCCGTATATTCCGGGAGTTATGAATCCTCACGCAAAAGTTGTTAAGCAATGGAACAAATTCTTCTTGATTTCTTGCTTGTTCGCAATATTCTTAGACCCGTTATTCTTCTTCTTATTATGGGTGCAGCAGGTAAAATACTAGTACTTTTGCAATATGGACGATAGAAAGATCATTATTTTTGATATATTATTTTTTTTGAACAGGACAATAAGTGCATAGTTTTGAATTGGCCCATGACAACAACAATTGTCATCTTGAGGAGCATAGCTGACTCCATCTACTTCATCCATATCCTTCTTCAGGTCCACTATAAAAACTCGATTATTGTGATTGTTTTTACCTTTTTTAGGCCTTCTAGTTACGGTGAACTAATAATAATATCTTGTTCTGCTTTTGTTTTTCCTCATTCACTGTACAAGTGAAAACAAATTTGTCATCTTTTTTTTTGCAGTTCAGGCTAGCTTATGTTGCTCCCGAATCTACAGTTACGGGAGCTGGAGACTTAGTTGACGATCCTATAAAGATTGCACGAAACTATCTTTTAGGATATTTTGTTATTGATTTCTTTATTGTTTTGCCTCTGCCACAGGTATGTATTGTTTGGTGTAATTACATAAAAAAAAAAAAACTAAGTTTTTGATGTATTTGGACAGAATAAGATCATATATCTCTTAAGATCATAAAACTTTTTTTTTTTT